ATTGGAAGAACTTGGTGTGCATCAGAGGGGTGAAAGTGTGATAAAATGTGACAATACTTCAGCCATACAGCTATCAAGGAACCCTATTTTTCATGGAAGGTGTAAGCACATTGGAGTAAAATTTCATTTCTTAAGGGAATTGGTAGGTGATGGAACAATTGCACTGGAATATGTGGACCAGGGAGCAGGTGGCAGACATCTTAACCAAGCCATTGCATCGAGATGATTTTCAAAGGTTAAGAGGAAGACTGGGTGTTTATTCTCTCAAGGGCAAACAAGACATGGAAACCTAGTCATGTTTGAGGGAGGGTTTGATGGAGTTTAGTTGTCTTTAGCTCAAGAATAAAAGAATTCAAATAAAGCTGGCTGGGTCAAGTCAAGTGGGATTTGCACACGTGATAATACCGAGTCTTAAGCTATTTCCGTTTTCTAGCTTTTCCTTGTTACTAGCTATAGTTTGTTATCTCTTTGTAATTTCTAGTATTTAATGCCACTTTGGCTTAGTTTAATGAGATCGAAGTTCAGTGATTACAAGTGAATTAACTCTTTCATTACCTTTATCAGATCGTTGATCTTCCATTAACAAAAATCTCGAACTAGGATAACTGGATTAATAATCCAATATTCAAACTGGCCTGTTTACCCCAAGATGATAATAAAGAACACAGAGATAAAATAGCGATACTAATGAACACACATTATTCAGACAATGGGGACAACTTAGGGAAGAAAGGACGACAATCGTGGATTTTAAATTCATTCCCTCAAATTGTAATTTAAGACTATAAACCGAACATTGAAGCTTTTTATTCAATAAACATATTAGAAAGTTGTGATTTATATAATCATCAACAAAATACAGGACCACTTATTTGAACGTACTACTACTTACAGAACTGTGGAGTGAAAACTAGTTTTATAAAGAAACACGAAGGCAGCCTGAGTGTCTTGAACCTTTAAAAATACTAATAAGCTTTCTGGTTTGCTACGTGAAGTCAATTATTTGCATTTTGGGATCACCATTAAAGGCTTTTTCCTTTGTGAGATTATCCCAAAGTTTTCACTCATGTCTAGTTTGGAAAGATCTTCAATGTTGTTTGGAAGAAACCAATCAAAGTTTTGGACCAAAGAAGCCAACATAAGGTGGATTTGCTTAATCGCATAGGGATACCCTGGACACATCCTCTTTCCTACACCAAACGGCTAGAACTTGAAATCTTGACCTTTGAAATCCACATTAGAGTCGCAAAATCTTTCGGGTTTGAACGACAACGGGGCTTCCCAAAGATTTGGGTCTCGACCCATTGCCCAAACATTAATTATTAGCTAAGAGTTCTTGGGGATTGTGTACTTCATAATTTTGCATCCTTCTAGGATGGCTTGTGGATGTAATAGTGGTGCAGGTGGGTGTAATCTCAGTGTCTCTTTAACACAAGCATGTAGATAAAGAAGATGGGAGACCTGTGATTCCTTGATGTAATTTGTCAAACCGATTTCTTTTTTGAGCTCTTCTCGGAGTGCGAACATGGCTTCTTTGTTCTTGAGCAACTCTGCTAATGCCCACTCGATCGTTGATGTTGTACTGTGTGTTCCCCCTGAGAATAATTCCTATAACAAAAATCTGAATATACAAATCCAGATTTGAAAACTAGACGATCATTAAAAACCACTTACCACGGTTAGTTGGTTAATCTGGAGATCTGAAAACCCAGATCCGAGCATGGTGTCCAAGAAATCTTGTTCATCAGAAGAATCTATATCTTTTTGGGCTTCTCTGGTTGCTCTTCTTTCCTTGATTATATGTTCCCATGCGCCAAAGGCTTCATTCATAGCCTCTGAAGTCTTCCTCTTTAAACCTTGAGGGTCTTCGAATCTAGGATAAAAATCGGCTATATTTGGAGTAGTTCCCAGCTTCATCAACCTATAAAGAGCTTGTTTCAATCCTCTTCTTTCCTTATGATCATCGTCCAAATCAATAAAGTCTTTGGAGAAACAAATGTTACCGAGTATGTTAACAGTCGAAGCAAACACAAGTTCACGAATATTCACAAGGCTTCCTTGTTTGGTTCTCAAAAATCCACCCATTTTATCTACGTTTTTCTCCCTTAATGAAGACTGTAAATCCAAACCTTTCGCCGAGAACAGTTCAGTCCGGCATAAGGACCTCAAAAGCTTCTAGTGATCGGTGCATTGAGTGGCCCAAATAAGAGAGTAGTCTTGTAGACCATCTTGACCAGCTTTAGGCACCCATCTGTAGGTAGGTAGTTTATCATGAGCTCTCATGATCTCAGTTGCAGCCATGGGAGAAGATCCGACGACAAACAAATGAGTGCCAAGCTTCACCGAGCATAAAGGACCGTAAGAATGGGCTAACTGGGTGAGGTAGATATGAGGGCCTTTAAGCATGTGAGGAAGGTTTCCTATGATCGGCAATGAATATGGACCTGGTGGAAGCTTATGACCCCCCTGTTGAGCATCCACCACCTTGGTTCTTATACGCACGACGATGATCAGAGACAAGAGCGGCGGCAATAAGAGGAGGAGGAGGATTATAACCATTGGAAACGTCAACGCATGAGGATATTAACCGCTTGTACCACTGATGAAAGATAGATGTACGTTAAATGCAGCGTTCGATAAAACTACGTGTGAACGCCACTTGTGATTGGTGGCCTGAATCGATTTAATATGATCTGTCATTGATATTTAATATAGCAAATGAACTTTTTATATCAAATTTTTATTTCACATGCCAGCTATAGGTGATGGGGTCTTGATTTTAAAGATATAATAAATGATCAATATCTTTTATTGTGATTATGGAAGTTATATAGTATAATAAGAATTCAAGACTTAAATATAACAAGGAGAGGTTTGCCATAATTATTATAGTAAAGAGACTTTTGCCATAATAATAGTTTCATATGTGTTAACAAATTATAAAAATTATCCAATATAATAAAAAACAATTAGCCTATGAATAGTATATTTTTTTGGGTTTTAAATTTTGGCCACAATAGTTTTATATATTGACCGGGTTTGGTCCTTATATAGAAAGTAAATTATAAAAAAATGTCATTTTAATTTACAGAAAAGATATATGTGCATTTTTTTATGTCTGAGTTTTAGACTTTAGCCACAATACTTTCGTATGTTGGCAGATTTGGTACGCATATAGAAAATAAATTACAAAAACACTCCCTGTAATTTATGGAAAAGGTCCCTACGTATTTTTTTTACCGAAATGACTCATATGTTTAAATAGTATACTCTTTGCTTCATGTGTTTAAAAAGTTTAAAGAAACTATCTATACATAATAGAAAGTTTACAGATTACGTCAACCGCAAAACGAATATAAGTAGACTCACAGTTGCTTCCTCCACGAAGCGGGGATGGGGAAATTTTTATTTATATTTAAAAAAAACATTTGACTTTGATCGCTTGAATCTTAAATATAAAATAATTAAAAGACTCATTGATAAATCAATTATAAATGTGTCGAAATTTATACAGTTTTTTTTAAGCAAAATGCAAATGTCATTAAAATTAAACTAGTAAGAAGCTAGGACTAGAAGAAAAAAAAAGAATACGGTGAAAATATAAAGCATTTTTTATATTCAATAATCAGGTCACAACATCAAAAAGTTTCATCTTAAATTGATGTCGGTTTTCTTGCCACACTTATCCAAAAATGTAATAATACTTACATCTTATTTTAGGAGTTTAACTTATTTTGACCATCGAAGGCTCAAATTTAACTTGATTTACTACCTAAAGATCTAATCACGTTAAATTAGACCTAAAGTTTGAGTTTTGGTTCATTTTTCCCCTTAAAACCTCTAGAAGTCGGTTTCCCTAACTTCTGATCATACTAAATTAAACCCTGACTTTGAAACTTTTTATTTTTTTCCAGTAAAATTAAACTTGCTTTTTAAGTTATTTCATGTTTTTTATTTTTTTATTTTTTTTAGTCAAAACTAGACTTGATTTTAATTTTTTTTGTTTTTGTAATAAATTTTGTAATTTTCTATATTTTTATATTTTATTTTATTTTTTATTTATTCATTTTTATATTAAGTTAACACCGAAAATAATAAATTATGTAAGTATTTATATATAAATCTATTTATTATAATTTTATAACAAACAATATATACAAGTTGAAAATGTATATTTGGGTTATTATCATCTATAACCATAATGTCATTATAACCAATAAACTATCATAAACTATCATGTTTTATTTTAAAGGGTCCCTTGTATATTAATTTTAGTAGTTTGAGTTCTTAAACTCTAACTTTACATGCTAAAAAGGGCATTGATGGTTTGTTTCTAGGTTTTACTAGTGAACTTTGAAAGTCTTTCTTTGGAATGACATTTTTCCTTAATTATTTCATGCTGCAAGCTTCTGTTGAAGATGACCATCATATACCTCACCCCATCATATGATTTATGTGGACATGATTCTTTTTTTTTTGTTATTGATTCAGTAGTTGTTCTTTAGCAACTTTAATCATATGTGATTAAATACATTTAATTACATGTGAGTATACGTATCTAAACACATATGACTTATATAGACAAAATCAAATCGTGTCTATATAAATTATATGTGATTAGATACACATAATCATATGTGATTATACACACAAGAACAAGTACTAAATTAAGAACACGAAAACAAATATTTCCGATATAATTCATATGTGATTAAATACGTATAATCACTTGTGATTAAATACATGAGACGAACTATTGAACTGAAAACGGGAAAATGAATATTATCCACATAAATCATATGTGATTACATGTGATTATATGTATCCAATCACATATCATTATTTGGGCAAGATTTATTTTTTCTCTTTCGATTCAATAATTTTTCTTTTCTATTTAATCAAATGTGATTATATATATCTAATCACATATGATTTATATCGACGAAAATGAATTTTTTCAATACAAATCATATGTGATGGAATACATATATAATCGCATGTGGTGGTGGTGGTGGGTTGTGGGTGATAGTTGGTTCGTGGTGGTTGTGAGTAGTGGTTGTAGGTGGTGATAGGTGGTGGTGGTAGTGGTAAATGATGTTAGGGGTGACAGGTGGGGTGGTGGGTGGTAGTGGTTAGGGTGGGTGGTGGGTGGGTTGGTGGTTGTGGTGTTGATCAGTGGGTGATGACGGGTGGTGATGCTTGGTGCTACTGGTGGTGGCGTGTGGTGAATGCTGGTGGTGGTGGGTGATGGGTGGTGATGGTGGTAGGTGGTGATGATGTTGGTGGATAGTGTGATGTGTTTTATAGGTTAAAAAAATATGCAGGAAAACTTAACCTTAAGTTAATATTCAACCTATTGGATATAAGTTTTCTTTATTGATTGCAACAAAAAATTGAACATCAAGAACCCTAGGAATACCCTATAGTTTCTGAAATTCATAAAGGGATTAGGGTTTACATACCTTTTGATTATTGTTGTAAATAATCAATAAAATCCTATTGGGTTTTTATTCGAAAATCCGGTTTCACAACCGGTAAAAATGACAACGGAAGCTTTAAAAATGTTGAATAAAACTAAAACTATTTTACCCACCAAGGATCATCTTGCAAGAGTTGGAAAGATTAAAACAACCATAGAAGGGAAAACATAACAACATTTGAAGACTTTGATCCTCATGTGAGGTTGGAAGTTGACGAAGTATGACATGAAACTCTAAAGCAAGAGTTCCCCACCAAGCAAGAGTAGAACCATCAAAACATGCTAGTATTCACTTGTAATTTGTTGTTCATAAGCTTTTGAAATATATACCAAATATATGTTCAAAGGTGAACAAGGCATGCATGCCTTGTCTCCTCCCATCTTTTGAAAAAGGCATGTCCAAATGTGACATCCCCTAATTTCTCGGGCAGAAAAGACCGATTTAATTTATGCTTTTTAAAATAAAGTCAGAGAAATCCTTTTAAAAGATGTTGCGGGATTGGTCCCCAAAACAAAACATGATAAAAGTTTATCAAAACCTTTCTTTAAGAAATATATAATTTCATTTCATATCAAAACCTCGGGATTTCATGTTCCAATACAAATCAAAAGCATAAACAAGACATTATAAGCTTTACAACAGTTATTTACAACTACTGGCCTATAATCCAAAAATCTCTCATCATCCTCCGACTATGCTCGGGGTCCACTACCTGTAATAATAAAAAGCTGAGTGGGTCAGGCTTGGAAGCCTGGTGAGCATATAGGGTTTTCAACTCACAATAATAATAAACTTATTAAGTTCATCAATCAACAATAACCTTGATTACCCATTCCCGTTATCCTCACTTTA